TTCTATTAAACATTATCCTTACCTAATTGAATATATTAGTTGTATATAGCAATTACATTTTCCTTTTTACAGTATAGTAAAGCACTTATGGTATAATAAAATCTACCACACAGTGCTCAACAGCCCAGTGTGTTGAGCAATTCAGTTTTTAGTGCCTCTTGTAAGTTAGGAATTGATTTTAATTGCCTGGCATAAATCACACAGTCCTACTGTAGAGACTCTTATTATTTCACAGACAGGGCTGTTTTTTTAATCCTCTATATTAATGTGGAATAAGAGGGAACCAGAATGAAAAGAAAATCATCTGAAAATTTACTTCTGAGGAAGAGAGATTTGTTCTGAATTCAGCGAAAATTTAACAAATGCTGTGCATTAGTCAACGTAATTGTCATAAGCATAGTAGTAAGGAAAACTTTGCACATCACCACTAAACCTCAGGCACTGTAACTGTTTAAAGAATTAAACTCTGACAAACTATGCGAGACTTACAGCAAAGAGAATTTGCAGTAGAGATAGAAATTTCTTCTTACACAGCTGTCCTGAACTCTCTGTGTATCACAGCCAGAAATAATATCTCCATGTATTCCGCATGTATGTTTGGATTTACAAAGCATGCAAGAGGAAAGCATTTTCTCATGAAATTTGTCTCCCTTATGCAGAATTTCTGTGCCAATGCCATTTAGTCATTTGTCTTAGTAGTAACTGAAATAAAACTAAACCTAAACCTAAAATCAAACCAAAACATCCTGTGTTTCAGAGGGAAAAAAAAAAAGAAAAAGAATGCAACATTATCAAATGTTGACCTCTGGAAAAATATCCAGCATGTTAAATAGTGAAATGGAAGTGGAAATTGTCTGCACTGATTGTGAGCTGCTGTACAGTTAGTGCATTGATAGTGATACCATTTTTTTTTTGTCTATACTGCACAATAGTTGTCGGGGGAAGGTGAAGATATAGGAGAGAGATTTGCACCTCGTGTCTTCCAACACCTAGGTCCCAAATTCCGGTCCACTCAATACTGATTTGTCTCTGTACCAGTATCAGCTCTGACACCTCACGTCTGCAGGAGTAAACAAACGCCCCTCAGCACTGCAGAATTCTGATATATCTTTACCTTATGAATGAGGAAGAAACAGAAAATGAGCCACCAATCAGATATCATAGGTATGAGTTAAATCTAGGAGTCAAAAGCAACATGTAGGGTGATATAGATAGATTTGATAAATTTATCAGTCTTTATAACTTCAAAGTTATACTTAAAGGCTCAAAGCCTTTTTTATGTAAACAGAAGAAACATAATTCGATTAAAAAAACTGAAACAGTTTGCAGGGGAAACTGAAAAATCATTTATATGCAATTAATCCCATAAATTTACCACTTCTCAAGATGTTAAATTATTTCTCTCAGCATTTCTTAAGACCTTTTATTTTCATTACTGGACTATCAGTTGCACATTTATCAAGTCTGGAAAGGCTCGGTCATCATTTTTAAAACCACATTATACAAGGGAAAGTTTACCGCCACATGCAAACTGGCTTTTAAAGTTCATGGTGCTGTTATAAAGGTCATGGTGATACTTAGTGAAAATTGAATCATGCAGAAGTCAATACAAAAAGACATATTGTCTTCCTTCAATAAGGAGCTTTTAATGCTGTGCCAGTTTATTTACCATCAAACTCTGCAAAGTCAGCAAGCTAATAAAGAATTTAGGATTTATGGGCCCTTTAATTCAGCATAGAAAAAATGGTTAGCAAGTGACAGACTAATAGGCCAATTATCTGAGGAATATTTTGTTCATTTGGCAGAAATTACAAGGAGATGCATAATAAAAATACCTTCAGTAACCAATTTATTCCTACATTAAAATAAGCTCATTCACGACTACTGTGCTACAGAAAGTACTATTAAAATGTTCAAAGTTCTTCCTTGATGCCAAACAAAAATGCTTAACCATGGCAATATACAATATTAATATTGATTTATGGTCAATTTATGTCTAGACACAAGCAATAAGAAGTGGACGGATACTACAGAAATCACAGCTTCTGTACAGGAAACCGGAACAAAGCCCCAAAGGATCGTATGCATGTTTGTCTTATTCCAGATTTAGAAATTATTATTTTTCCCTATTAGGTATGGGTCTAAAATATTAGCTGTTTTCTTTGCATGAATGAACTCTGGAGAGGGAATAGTCTGGCAGATTTTTTATTAAAAATATGCTTGAATAAAATTTTGCTTTTTTATGTCGCTAACTTAACCTAATTGTACTGCCCTTCATATTGGCTAACAAACGAACTTCATTAAACTAACCACAAGTGTTTAAAGATCCTGACTTAATAACATGATGCAAAAACCCACAAACATCATATAATTTAGAAGTTCTGCTGAAAAATAAAGAAACACAGGCCACTAAGTCTCTGAAGCAGCCAAAAAAGTGAGCATTTTCTGATTCTACAGGCTTTGGCATGAGACATGAAAGTAAGTTTAAGCCCTGCTTTTTCATTTTGGGGACTTTTGTTAGAGCATTTATGCATTAATATTCATAGGAAGGCATTATAGTTCAAGTATGAAAGAAAATAATAAATTCCCAATATATATTTCACATATAATTAATCCAATACATAATCTCCTCTGGGCGTTGACTTTACTAAAAATAATATAGATAAGGAGGTAGTAACTGCACCATCGCCTTAGCAGGTCATGGGAAAAATGTTATTAGAAAACAATGCTTCAGTTTCAGGCTTTTCTGAAATGACTAGTGACTCTGAATGCCCTAATTTGGGTCATTTATCACTATTAAGGCAGAAGGGTTTTCATTGTTAAAAAATGTAGTATTCATTTTCTAAAGCTAAGAATCTTCAAGCTTCCTCTTCAAGAGGACGGACATTGGGAAAATAAGGCACGTGCATTGCTTTCAAAGTTCTTGGCTGAAATTTTAGTTTGAGTTGGGAAAAGAAAATAAAAATCATGAACTAATTCCAGTGGCCACTGTGTAACCTTTGGACTTCCTTAGACCTAGCTTGTTCCCATATACAAGCTCCCAGGAAACCAAGATATTTTGTTCTTAGCAGATTACACTGAATTCTTATCTAAAAGTTACTTGTTTTCTCGCAAGAACTGAAATTTTGGATCAAATGCTGAGGCAGTGGCCAGTGCTATCCTGTCCAATTCGTGCTCCTAGGACTGCTAGTCTCAAGAATAGTGTTTGCTTAGAGGAAATATAAATCGAAATAACATACAAGCTTAAAGAAAATATTAATACTAAATTTGTCTGATTTTGCAGTGGAATTTCCCACTTACCAAAGAAAATGCCAACAGACAGGGACCTGCGCAGTGTCACAGCTTTGCTTTTTCATTTGTGGTTTATGAAGAAAGTTAAAATAATTATTCTTGGGGTTTAAGCAAATGAATCAAAACTATCCTTTTATTGGAATATAAATATAGGTATAATGTGCAGAAAATCAGACTGCTAAAGTGATCACACACTAAAACAGCGGTTTCATGGCTTTCTCTCCTGCTTTTATGTGTCTGCAATAAAGTCATTTTTTTTTTATAAGTCAACAGAGACACACTTTCACTAATCTACAGGATGCTTCATAGCTGGGACAAATAGCTTACGGATCTTTATTTCTCACAGTGATAAATCTCTTACTGTCCACAGGTCACAGAATCATTTAGGTTGGAAGGAACTTGTTGAGATCATCTAGTCCAAATCCCAGGCCAGCACCAAATCTGATATAGATTATCAGGTCAGACATTAATACTAGAACTGCCACCCACTGCAACAGGATGGAGGGGAAGATAGAAGCTTTTTAAAAAAATCTAAGGCAATGATTTTATGTTTTCAGACTGAATCTGATGTACAATTCTAACACAATAATAGGTATTATTCATTTATTTGGAAGTACAAAGCATAAACCAAAAGAGATTTCACTATTATTACATACAGTGTATCTATGTTGAATAAAAGCCTAAGTCCTTTTTCCTTGACCTGTATCTCCTTGCTTGTATCTGCAGGTAACCGTGCTGACGTTGAGTACACTTCTGCTGTCTGTGACCTGGCTCTTCAGTATGCCAGCTCTTCCTCATGCAGCAATCCCATTTATCTCATATGACTCACAGTAACTCATTTCCACTTGCTGGAGTGTCACAGAGGTACAGAAAGGAAATGTAAAGGCCAGGATGTAGGCATAGAAATGAAAGCAATTTTCTGGAGAACCCACAGAAATGCAACAAAATGGGATGGAAAAATTCCTCAATTTATGTAGACCCCTCCTGCTATTATACTAACAGTTGCCCATTGTGTGTTTCAGTACAGCTATTGTCTTCCTTTTCCATTTGATTATGATATTTCACAAACAGCTTAGGAATGTGGTGATTCATGAATACAGGTAGAATCCTCAAACTTTTTAAAAAAAAAATATATATATACATAAGGCTTGAATCTTTTCCAGGGGTACTGAATGATTTTCTAGTCATCAGTGAGGGAAGATGGGAAACAAAGCTGACATACGCAAGTTCAGTAAGCCAAAACTCTTAATAAATACACTTTTCAGTAAGCTCCTCTGGAAAGGAACCTCTACATAGCATAGAAAGACTGCAGGTATTTTTACACTGAATGACTGAAAAAATGCATTTGTGAAGTAAAGGATGTAGAAGGGAGAAACAAAGAGATGAAGAGATTCCTCTCACCAGTGTATTTTTATATACAAGCATTTAATGAAGACCCCCATGGGCAAGTGCTTTTAATACAAGAAAGGGGGCAGAAAGAAACTTTGACTCCAGAACTGTTCACTGAAATTAGTTCATGTATAATATGCGAGAGCTTTTTCAGGTATTTTTTCAGTCTGTTCACAAAGCGAGTTTGCAACAACAAAAAGGTGGCAGAAACAAGGACAGGGCAAAAGAAAATGCCTTACAGTAACAGCTTTAAAGGATTTAAAGATTTTTCTCTCTTGGTTTTAGACGGGCAATTCTGCTTTTGGCCAGACAGAGGTGAAAGCAAATGCCTACCCCTGATGGGAGAGTGCAGCCCTGACTTCTTGTCACTCCTCCGTGCACCAGAGGCAGGGAAACCACAGGACCACTGCTGAATGGTAACGGTCCTTAGCAATGCAACTATTGTCATGATTAGAAACCAAGCAGTGTCTTGGCAAGTTTCCCCATGCTAGTCTCTCTAAAGTTCCTCACATGAAAGGGGTATTTTTTACCAGCGAAAGACCAGCTCTGTCCATGTGCCTAATGAACTCCCAGTTCCTTCAAAGAGGCTGTTGACACAGCTGCCAATTAACACCATTTGTGATGTACACAAATGTCTACAAAGTCTTTACACAGGCCAAACAGCACATGGACTTTCACTTGTAACTGTTGTAAGTTAAATTTAAGCTGTTGACAGGGAAACAGATGTGAAAGATTCTTTAATCTCAATCTTTTCCATCCAGCACTGGAAGCATTTCCAAAGTGGGGGCTTTTTTTGAAGGCTGCAGACCCAGTTTATGCTGATGATGAAACAATCAAGGTCACCAAAAGTCTGTGTTTTGACAGTGTCCAAGTAAAAGTCCCTCTTTCCTGACCATCTTTGACATAACCTTTCTTCAAATAACTTGAGGTATTATTCTGCCACACAGAAGCCAAAGGAAGACTGTCATGGTCAGAAGGAAGACATGGTCAGTGTCCATGTCTCTGCACTGATCAGCCCCCAAGGTTTAGATGAGGAGAATGCCACAGAGACCATAGGAGCCTTTGATATTATTGTGCGAGTCATCAAGAGTCAAAGGAAAAGAAGCCATATTTTCCATCCTACTGAAATGCACGTGGAAGAGGCAGGCAGGACTATTTTCTTCCAGTGTTCCCACCTCAGAAGCCTCAGTTCCCTCTAGGATGCTCCTGTCACCTCCCTATCGGATGCACGAGCACAGAACATCTACAGCCGTGTTCTCAGGATGCATTCCACTGCTGTGCCTGTGCTTCAGCCTCAAATTCCTTCCCTCTCTGGTTCAGTGTTAACCTTAATAAGTGTCTGAATAGACATGTGAATTTCCTCTTCTGTCTTCCTTTAATTCGTGATTCCTCATATATTCATAAAGATGAATATAAAATCCAGCATCTTTTACACTGAGAAAAAACAGTCCCATGCTGACTAAGTGCCCAGTTTCTTAATGTGTGGTATTCAGTAATTGCATGCACAGGGAGGTCACAGTCTGTTGTTGTTTTAAAAAGGGAGGAAGGATTAACGCATACGTGTCATCTCCACTCCAAGCATTTGGACAACAGATATCAATGTAAAAGAGAAGAGGCCTTGACACACTGACTTCAGGCAGAGCCAGGTGTCTACTACATCCTTCCAAAGCTGTTTGCACTTATGAACTCTGCAGCTGTTAGTATCTCTCCACAATCATCTCGCCAAGCTACTTCAATGCGCATCTGTGTCTGACACCATTAATTCTCCAGAGTACTAGTGAAAACATACAAGATGCAGAGATACCATTCATAGGTGCTCAGTTGGTGAGGCTGTTTTCTTTCTTGATCAACATCAAGTATTTTCCTGGGAAAACAACATTTTCCTGCTGTTAGATTCTATGCACGGAAGCAGAAACAGGAAGAGGGTGAAAAGCAGTAAAAGCACACAGGAAGGTAGACTGCTGTTCTATGTCTCATTTCAGGTTTATCTGTTATATTGCATGTTCACAAGAAATCTTCTGGAGTAAGGATAGGAAAAAATACCACCAAAAATATCCGTATCTAATAGATACCTCTATTATCTAAGAGATACCTCTTTTGCTCTATTAAAACACATTAAGGCTATTTCTGCTCTTTCCTGACTGTTTCGAAGATGAGGCCACTCACATCAATGAATCTCTTCTCCCTGATGCATTGATTTCATTTTACTTTGTTTCTTTTACTGGCAACCAGGTTAAAACACGTATTTACACACTAATTTTTAAGATCTTTGGCTCAGGCAAACTGATCTACATCTACATAAAACAAACAGCCAACAAATGGATTATAGAGCAATTGCCAAGCATTCAGACGTTGCTGAATATATTTTTCCTGTCAGTTTGGATACCAGCCCATGGTCCTGAAAATTTACATGGCAAGTATAAACAGTGACCTCCACTTCATCTGTTCTATTGTAAGCACAACAGTGAAAACAACGAAATAATTTTGCTCAAAATCATCTTTCCATCTTGCTTGAAATCCAGACATTGATTTTCATAGAATCACAGAATAATTTAAGGGGGCAGGGGGGCAGGGGGGGAATGTATGGTCAAAATCCCAGCTCAAAACTTAAGTCCTGCATCAAAGTTAGACCAGGTTTCCCAGGACTGCCTGGAGTCAAGTTTTTACTGTCTCCAAGGATGGAACTTGCACAGTCTCTGTGCAGCCTGTTCCAGTGTTTGATGGCTCTCATTATATAAAAAAAGAGTAAATCCTAATAACTTGTTGGAATTTCTGTTGTGCGGATTTTATGCACCTCTTGTCTTTCATGTTGCACCTCCAAAAAGAGTATGGCTTCATCGTCCTTATAACCAGACATTAGGCAACTGAAGGCAGCAATAAAATCTTCCCTTGGCCTCCCCTTCCCCAGACTGAAAAACCCAAATCTCTTAGCAGCATTTCTTATATCATGTGCTCCAGTCCCCAGCCATCCTGGTGGCCCTCTGCTGAACTAATCCAGTAAGTTAATAACTTTTTGCTACCATTTTGCCTACTGTATCTTGGTACATTTCATAAATACTTACCATAATCTAATGTGATGAAAATGGTTTTATGTTTGAACTTGTGGGTGAGTCTGGCATATGAGTGCAGCCAGATATCTTGCAAACAGAATCTTGGTTAATCTCTTTCCTATATATGACAGTACTCCACAGCACATCCAGTCCAGGATGTGTCTTGAGAAGACTAGATACATATCAAGTTCTTTAGCAATTAGTTTTGTAAAGTGAGCCAGTGTACAACAAGTCAACTCTGTAGTTTAAAGGCTTGGTGAAATGATCATCTTATTAATAAATGATGGATTTTAATAAGCAGCTGGCACTGATTGCATTATGTATAACAAAAAATATGATGTCCCAATGAGAAGTACTGCAAAACCAAAACCCAGAACTCTCAAAAACATCAAGTAAGAAGTTAGAGCTGTTATTGCAGGGAGGAACACAGATGCATTTTCATCCTGCAAATGCCTACCAGTTCTTGCAAGTATGGCTATTCTATAATATTTGTCAACAAATTAAAGACTCATTTAAAATTGTGTGTGAAACAGTTCTTCACTAGTTGTATTATGGGCTATTAATACACCCCATCTACATTCTATGATTCATATTTCCACAGCTAACACAAGTCATGTAATTGTGCTAATAAAATATAGGCATAATTTTCTAACATGGTCTGGCAACAATAAAACATTATAGTTTGAACAATGGACCAGTGTTTAGGTGATTGCAACTATCCATTGCATTCAGTTCTCTTTTGCCAGCTATGGTGTAGCAGTGACTAAACAGAAAACAATTCCCATATATATAATTCCCATATATTAGGCAATTTGAGACCAGCTATTGGAGCCAAATGGTGCAGTTAATCAAGGGACAGCATGCAAAATCAAAGGCATTTTTCATAATCTCATTGCAATGAATCAGATTTTGCCCTGAGGACTAAACTGAAGTGTGTTTATTTGCTTTTTGGATGTGTTTAGTAGGATTTTATGTTAGTGAAAGACTGAAGCCATTTATGCTGGGTTCATTTCCATCTAGCTAGGAAATGCGTGTTGTCTGCCTTAGAAATCCCAGACTTGTGAAGAAAAGGTGTGTTTTCATCAAAGTGCCAGAAGATGCTCAAGATCTGTTTTCTTCTCTCTTTTGCAGAAAAAAAAAAACTTAAATTCATCACTAAATACAGCTCATTGTTAAGTTCATGTTTTGCATTTTTTACAAACGCATTGTTACCTTGTACAGTCTGCATAGACTTAGTCTACTACTGCTTCTGTATAAGATTGTGGTTAGAATGTCAGCCATGGATTTTATGCAGTTATTATTTTAACAGATGCATTGAACACAGATCTTTTCTTTCATCTCTGACTTGACATTACTCCCTTACTTTTACTTTTACAATTCAATCAAGTATAAAAGAAGGGGGGCGGGGTGTGGGCAAGAGAGGGAACCCAGATTAACTTTTTATCAATGTCAGACTGGAAATTACTTTTAGAGAATGTTGTATTTACTTCATAAATTGTAAATATATTTAATCATAAATTGCTTAGGAAAGCAAAAATTAGAGTACCATTTAAATTACATTTTCACGAATAACCAGACCTGATGTATAAGTTTGTGCATACTTCATAAAAAATCATTATCTGACATTTTTCTTTCTTTTCACTGGTTGATGGGTACTGCAACAAACAGAACTATCTATGTCACGCAAAAAGAGAACTCCCTTTCACATTGATCTGCATTATCTTGAACAAGAAACAATACTTAAAAATCTGAGAAGAGTAGAATTTAATTCCAGGGAATATGAAAAGATGGCATGACCATGAGCACACTTTTCAAATATATACCTCCTCTTAGCTGTGAAACTCGTGTAAAAGTGATCGTAAGTAAGTTCTTCAAGAGTATTTTGTAAATACTTACTCAGGATGATACTTCCGAAGAATTTGATTCACAGGTCTCTGACTCAGAAAGAAAATAAATTTCATGTCTTCATTGCATGTTGGCATCTGAAATAGAACAGCAAGGCAGAAAGGTAAGCTGTACTCATTTGAAACAAAAAAAAATAGAAAAGAAAAATTACAGAGACAACTTTCTCACTTTTTGAAGACTTTTTACAATTTTTGTTCCCATTTCCCCTCAAAAGAACACATATTTACACCTCAAAACTTCCGAGAAGGAATAGTTCACGCTATAGAAAAAGATGTTTTTTCTTTTGCTATTATAAGCTAGGAAGCAAATCAAATATTGTGCTCATAAACATTGTATATTTGCTAAATTTCATGAGAATCCATATCTATTCCTGCTTCAAATCTAAACCTTGAAAGAGAACTCCAGTTCAAACTTCCTTAGCTGGTCTCTGGTATAGTACCAATACGTTGCTTACAGTATATTTACTCAATTTAATGCAGAAAATTATTCTGGAAATATAATATTATCTGCCAAACTAAAACCTTCAGAATAAAAACGAACAAACAAACAAATAAACAAACAAATAAATAAATAAATAGCAAAACCTGGAGTATTGTGGTTAATGTCCAGAATGTCAAAACTTAAAAAAATAAAGCTAGACAGTTAAATAAGCTTTAATTACTAGGGCAAGAGAGCTTTATGCTATGTATACAGTGCATGAAATTCTTACTAAAACTAGCAGAATTGTTTGCAATCAATCGCATCACAAATCCTTCATATAGGATGAAAATATATACACTGAACTGTTAGTGCTATGCCAAGCAAATATTCATGAAACCATGTGAAGTTATATGAGTCTGACTAAGTGCTTCTGTTTGGTAACAATATAAATTCTTATGGTAATGATGTCAAAATATCATCAACACAGAAAGGACTCTAATGACCTCAAATTTTAAAATGAAAATTCATTGCTACTTGTGGTTTTCAGTTTTAATAACACATTTCTAGTAAGTATCTATGATACTGTTTAGTATTGCACGCTAAGATATTAAGTTTTAAATGGAAAATTGAAAATGTACCATACATTTTACAGTGGTGATCACAGTTCAAAAACATGGTTATATGTGGATGCGCATTGACATTAGTTCAGTATTAGAATTTAAATACAGATTAGATAGAAATTCCATTTCAAGTAAATCACAGACATCTCTGTCTTATTCATCAAAGCTCAGGGTTTCTTCACAGCTGCTTCATTTCAGTGTGTGAGAGAGAGAAGGACCTGTTTCTAAATATGCAGCAGTGCTGGATCCAAAATTTCCACATGTTTGGATCCAACATTTGGGCCCTGGCCTACTTTTGCAACAGAGCAAAGTCGTAAGATATTGAGTAAAAGGGGATTCTGGGAATCAAAAAAAAAACCAAAACAAAACAAAAAAAAAGCTTTTAAAACATAATTGGAAATATTAGGAATTATCCCCACTGCATTATATACATTATCTCAGTATATGCCACAGACATGACCCACTTCCCAGTCAAAACTTTTTGAAAAGGGACTGGGCTACTGAAATATCTGTGGGCCTTTTGGTGATTCTGTTCTCTGTGGCAGCAATGTTGAGCAAACACTTTATTTATAACCTGTTTCTAATATCTCATCTAGCACAAAAATCATGTTTTGGCAAAATTCTCAAGAATGAATATTGGTTTTTAAATTACAGCTTTTCTGCTAAAGGATTGTATTTCATTAAGTGCTTCTGACTAACTTTTAAGATAGACAAGTTCATAAAGTTAAAATGTATTTACTCAGGATTTACAACATACTATTTCTCTACTGTTATGTACTAATGGGGTATTTTATTTAGTTTAAACTCATTTTTATTTTAAAGGAATGATCTCATTCTAAGCTAAAGTGAACATGAGAATATACTATTGTGACATGTTTTGCAGATGAAAATACCACTTCAGAATTCACATGGAAAGCAATTTCTATTTTACTTTGCCATTTTCTGCATGGCCATCACTAGCTGAGAATAAGAAAAAATATCTTTAATTTGTCTCAAAACGACTTACGGAGTTTTAGAAGTCCTACTAATTTTTTTAAACTCTGCCCTAGGCTAACACTAATTTCAAAATTAAAATTTCCCAAAAAACTTACGCTTCCTTTAAAAACTATTCTTTATCAGGAAAACTTCCAAGTATCAATGAAAAAGAACATGCCTTCATTTACGGTAATCAAAACCTTGCATTATTTACCTTGGAGCAATTTCTGCAGAAACAACAAAAACATTTTCAAGGTTTTTTTTTCCATTAAGAATATTCTCTGTTTCATTTTACCACCTCAAAGGCTGTGACAACGTAAATGCAAAGCCCAGAGTGAAAATGAATAGAAGGGAAACTCAAGTCATTCTCTCTCTGAGAAACTAACTGTACTCAATTATATTCAGGTGACAATTTTTTATCACCTAAACTACATAAACACAAAGGCACAGAACTTACGTAGTTATAGTGATGTATTTTATTAATATAAACCCATTCTTAGGAATAAAATGTATCAGTGCATGATTGAAGGCAATTATTAACACATCACTTACAGTTTTATAACACTGAGTATAATATCCTGATGATATTTAAGCTCTTTGCATAAAACAGTGGCAAAACAAACAAACAAGTTGACTAGCACCCCAAAACGAGCAGATTTAGGGTAGCATTATTTGATTTTCAAATAGTATGATTTATTTGCTTATGTTTTAAATCTATTTCACATATATGTATTAAAATCCAGACTATCCAGTTCAAGTGTTGTCTAATAGCCCCAAAGAACTTGTTCTCTAAGAGAAAGAAGATGATTTCATGCCATTTTCTGTCAGTACAGTCTCATTCTTAGGGAATGGCATTTTCTGCATCAAACTGTACAGTAATTTCCAGTTTAACATATGAATCTCTTGTAATGGAGCAATCACACATCTGGCTCTCTATCAGAACAATCATGCTAAATTCAAGCACTCAGTAACAGTATTGTTAATTGCGTGTTATTCCAATCTTTTGTGTAGGTGGGGGCTACAGATTCTGTTCGTATCTGAGGAGTTCAACAGTGTAAGGCTACAGGGATTTTTTTTTTCTATTTTTTCTAAACTCAGAAGTAAGGTTGAAATTTAAATTTCCCTGAGCCTAAGGGTAATTGACCTGGTCAGCCAGGTGTAAGGACATGTGAAATCTCTTTTTCCAGCCTTCCCCACTGTATAACTAGAGCTTCTTTTAGTTAGGACAGCCTTGACACCACGGCACCCACACGGGTATGTCCAGGCAAGCATTTATATTTGAAGGCCCTAATCTCAAACTGACTTGTACCCAGCATAGATTATTGTGGCCTCTGATAAAATTCTCTCTGTAAAGAGATCATTACAGCCACCAGCTAGACTTACTAAAGTCAATAAATAAATAAAACAACACTGTTGATGTCATAACAGTGGTGATAGATTTAGCTCTGGATTTTAATCAGACCTCAGGAAGGCAATTTTTAGCTGTGGCTTTGAATGCTGTATATCTGAAAAGAGTAGCTGAATTCCTCAGTCAAGAGGCCTCTTTGCAAAGAGTTGACACAGCTCTTCAGGGTTTGACATCCCAAGGAAGTGGCAGTAGCTAATGAGCAGCCCTGAGTCTGGTGTCTGACCTCCAGAGACATGTTTAAGTGACTAGCACCCCTTACGCTCAGCACAAGGCTGCCTGTATCATCTGTAAGAAGCACATTAAACTCTCTCTTTATTTCTTATGCCAGGTAGAGGGAAGTAATTCCACCCATACACTCTACCGTGCTGGGTCCTCACCTGGAGTACTGTGTTCAGCCCTGGAGTCCTCACTACAAGAAAGACATGGACCTGTTGGAGTGAGTCTAGAGGAGGGCCACAGAGATGATCAGCAGGCTGGAGCCCCTCTGCTGTGAAGACAGAGATACTGCTCTCTCTCTGCTACTAAGAGAGTTGGGGTTGTTCAGCCTGGAAGAGAGAAGGCTCTGGGGGACACCTTATTGCAAGGGGTTTATAAAAGAGATAGGGACAGACTTTTCAGTAGGGCCTCTGATGACAGGATAAAGCAAAATGGTTTAAAACTAAAGGAAGGTAGATTCAGACTAGGTCTACAAAAGAAATCTTTTACAATGAGTGTGGTGAAACACTGGCACAGGTTGCCCAGAGAGGTGGTAGATGCCCTATCCCTGGAAACATTCAAGGTCAGGTTGGACAGGGTTCTGATCAACCTGATCTAGTTGAAGATAGATCTGCTCATTGCAGGTGGCTTGGACTACATGACCTTTAAAGGTTCCTTCAAACCTGAACTATTCTATGAGTCCCTGACTACCTTGGGCAGCTTGAGTTACTTTGTGTGAGCTAGATACCCATGAATAGCTAGCCTGAAGCCTGCTGAGGAAGGGTCATGTTAGCTTCATGTTGTCTATCTCACACCTAAAAGAAACTTGCCTGGAATTCAGTTTGGAAGATGATGAAAGAAAGGGAAAATCCCATCTGCTTCAGTACCAAGATTACAGGCATTTTTTTTTTCCAGCAAAGAGATTTTTAATTTGTTTTGTTTCTGTATAGATAGCATTGAAATAACTCAAATATACAAAAAAAGTCCTATCAAGAAACTAAAATGTTTCAGCTTAGGCCAATTCCATGTGAAATTACACTGAGGAGAGGAAGTATCCAAAATATCATACAAAAGATATAGATTTTGTGAAAACTGCATTTTTCAGTGAAATGTTGGTTATGGTTTTCATTTGTACATTTCCAGCAAGCCCTATTGCAAATGTATAGGATATGAGGAGAGTAGAGCTAGAAAAAAATCCTCAAATCATCTTGTCTACTTCTATGTACTGGGAAAGGATCAAATCTAGATATAAAATCATAGAATCATAGAATCATAGAATAGTTAGGGTTGGAAAGAACCTTGAGATCATCCAATTCCAACTCCCCCTGCCATGGGCAGGGACACCTCACACTAAACCACGTCACCCAAGGCTCTGTCCAACCTGGCCTTGAACACTGCCAGGGATGGAGCATTCACAACCTCCCTGGGCAACACATTCCAGTGCCTCACCACCCCCACAGTAAAGAGCTTCCTCCTTATATCTAACCTGAACTTCCCCTGTTTAGTTTGAACCCATTACCCTTTGTCCTATCGCTACAGTCCCCAGTGAAGAGTTCCTCTCCAGCATCCAAATATGATCTGTGCAACCGTAATAATGGGTTGTAACTAGAAGATCCATAAAATCCCTTCCAACCCAAAGTATTCTATGATTCTATAATGAAATAGTCTTTCCATCAACTTGTTCTCATCAGTTTTTGCATTATCTATCTCTAAGACAGGTCATAATTTATAGAAGATTTCTTACACAATACTGACCTACTCACTATGCCTGGTATCCCTATGGACGTGCTTTCTATTTTTCTAGGGTGGGAAAGGCAATCAGCAGGAAAGAAGGGGCAGAGAGGGATGAGTTTGGGTGCTCCCTGTACAGAAAGATTTAAGGCAATGCTCTTTGAGACATTCAGATCAATTAGATAATCAAAAATAGATAAGTGCAAATATCTTCATCCTCCTCTACATAATACTGAAGCTATCGTTGCAAATGATATAACAAAATGCCTCTCCGGTGACATCTGTGGAGATGCACAAAAAAAGGCAGCAGACTGTCACAGAGGAGAAGGAGAACTTTATACTTCTTAAAACTGTTTCTCTGTATGCCACTTTCATATAGTCTTTCCTGGAGACCTGAATTTTTGCCTGTAAAGTAATTTTTACTAGTTTTCTGTAATACAGGAAAAGAAATTAAAACATGCTCTTATTGCAGCATTGTTCGTTTTATCCATCTGGAAAGCATAGGTTTTCCTCTGCGGCATCCCAGTGACAGAGTGACAGAAACAGAGTGACAAACTCTGGCAGTTTAATAAGCTCCTAAATCTATTTTAATTAAGGAAAGCCTACTGACCTCAGCTTTTAAACATTTGTTAGCATATGAGATAACATACAAAGAAAAGATACTTGTGCTTCAAGGTCTTCAGGGTTCAAGACCTTGAGAATTTGGCAGTATGTACAGTATACGCAGGTTCCAGTGCTCAGAGGACAAGCGTTCTCTTTCTCTTTTGACATAAAAGAGACAAGATAATATCTCATTACTTTAAAACCTTCTGAGTAAGTGAGCTAGCTAAAAGCATCGAGTGCTTTTAGAGTTTAGCTGTAAAAGGAGACTAAAAAAACCACACCATGTTAAGAAAACATGAGTAACCTAAACTGCTGGAAAACTGTTTTAAAACAAAAGATTTCAAAATAGAGAAGCACTGACAATTCATGGAGGGATGAAGAAATGGATCACACAAAGTCAATATAAGAAAACAAAACTGCCCTGATAAATAAGAACGTAAAATGTAAGGAGCTACCCAAGAGCCCTTAGCCATTCATTTATATCAGAATTGGTGGACAGGTGATGCAGTATGAAATTGATTTCTTAGATTAGCTATCAATGGATACTCCATACCTACACTAGCTACATGTGCAAACTGAAAAATCAATATTTGTGTACTGTTAAGATATCAAAGTTGCTCATCTGAAGGGCAAATGTAGCACTAAGTGCTAGATATTTTGATGCCCCATTAGCTTTAAGGATACATTATGTTTCTAAAATTAACATCTGCTTCTCATTAATCAATGAAGAGTGTGAAATGTATTTCTAAGAATCGTTGTCTTATAATAACAATGTTGGCCCAAAACTGAATAGCAAAACAGAATGGCACAGGAAGAGAATGAAGACCTTGCTCACACCAGTGAGCAAGGCAGTGCCAGAAGGAAAAAGTAATGTGGGATTCTGTGATCTTCAGACAAAGTGATGGAGAGACAGTTTGATACAGGGAAAGGCACAGCACTATGAAACTCCTCACTGAACTGCAGAAAGAGACATCCAACTGTCATCATGAGGCACATGTCCCTTAGCCCTGTAATAACTGGTATGGTCAATGAAGGTCTTATCAAAAGATCATAGAAACAAAGAGAGGGTTTTCTGTTGCCTCTGCATGGGTCCTGGACGAAGCCCAGCAAGTGCAATTTATCATATGGGTGGACATACATCTGGACTGGTGATGTCACATTCATTGGGATCATCCGTACACCTATTTAAAAATAAGCTAAAAAACCCCACCTAGCTCAAATATTCCTTGGACCTTTTCTATAAACTGGGTCAGCCCCAAAGTCTGTGTCAGGGCCTTGCATGCACCAGTGGGGCTTAGTGGCCTAGACCAGCCTAACCTGGGAGCCCTATCCACATACCTGCTGCCTCTTGGTCCAGAAACCAAATTTCAGCTCAGCCCTTGGCAGGTCGGGCCTGCCTGAGCTACACCACAGCAGTACCACTCCCAAGCCCTGTCTCCTGCTGCTATTTAATGCAGTCCCTAGATGAAACCCATCCCAGGTTCATCACTTCATCTCGTTTGATGATTGCTGGCTGTCCATAGGACCTGTCACTATCACCAACATTGCCTTGCTCTGCTGCTGTGGGATTGCACATTCTTGGTGTGATCCTTTGCATCTGGGTTGCCCTTTGCTCCCAGCTCATCCTCCTTTGTGGAACAGCCTGCCTTTACCACTCCCCAGCAATCGTAATTATGCCAAAAGCACTCTTAAATGAAATATCTCTATGAAGGGTCAAACCCTAGAGAAGAAAAAATATGCTTGTGTTGCCAGTTCAAGAGGAAATGAAGTTGCACATTTAATATTCAGGCAAGAGAACTGCTGTGGCACCTCCAGATACTCCAGACTGCATAAAAAGTCAATTCAGACTGAAAGTGGGCAAATTAATACCATGGAATAAAGTGACCATACTGTATAATCTGTATAAACATTGAATGTCTTTCCCTACCTTTCAGCAAAGATTTAATATAGGAGTCTGTGGTGAGCTGAGATAATACTAAGATTTCATTTTATTTATAAAATACACCACAGATCATTTATTAATACACGAAGGATCATAAATAATTTAAAAAGGTCTGTAACTGTCAAAATCAATGCACAAAATATACTAGCTGATTTTTGCACTAGCACTGTGTTCATTTGCTTAACTTGGTAATTTGGAAAAGTCTAATTCACAATGGATTGCATCAGTAATGTTTTTCCATAAACATATTTTATAAACTAAATTATCTGTTAGTAACATAAATCTAGAGAATCAGCCATACCCTGACTAATTCTCTCTGGTCTTCAAAAGCAAAACCAAATATCTCTTGCGTCTAAACCTGGAAGTTCTTGGCTCAGGGAAAATTTCTTATAAAAGTCAATGGCGACAGCAGATTAAATCCAACAGACATTTTATGTGAATGAAGACTTTGTGAAACTTCCAGTTGAATTTTTTCTTGTCATCACGCAGAGGAAGGGATAAGAAACTCCCTTCCCTCCTTCCTCCTGACTCCTTTTTGTAAAGCTGATGCCAGAGCAAGCTATGAACAATAATCCACTCTATTTGGAAAAAGCTGCACTCTGAAAGACTTTTTCTTGACAGAGCACAATTTGTTTTACAAAATTTAGTAATGGTGCTAAGCTTCCTAGTGTGTTACTTACTAGCACATTACTTATTAACTATGTTCAGAGGTACTATTTTATACAGCATCCTTCTGATGTTCATTAACTGTGGTCTTAGGGAGATGCACACCTAAGAGACAGTGTGAAGGGGAAAGAATAAGGAAACCTGTCTGTCCTCCTAAACAGCAGCCATCCAATTAACAAATTATGACCTGTGAAAAGGCATCAACCACAGCTGTGTCTTTGTATACCAGCTAGCTCCCAGGAGGTGTTCTCTCAGGGCTCTACTATAACGACGCACAGCTGGCCATTTACCGACACAGGAGGATGGATGTCTGTAAGCCCTACTGAGCCTACAAGAAGATTTTGGCCCTACGTTAAATTTTAGCAACTTGGAAGACAAATCCTTCACAAGAATAACTCCATGTAAAAACACTGACTGACATGGAATGGCAATGATTTAGAGTAGCTAAGATCTGAGTTATTCATTTAATTTTGATTTCAAAATACCTTTCACTTGTGCCCCTCTGGTTGAACTATGTTATGGCTTAGTCATTCTTTGGAAGTAGCAACCACAGCCATGTCATTTCATGTAAGTTATGGCCCTGTATAATGGACTTCAAAAACTTCAGTGTAAAATATCACTGTAAAAGCTTTAAAGTTAAAAAACAACAACAAACCAAACAATGAAAACCCACTGTTAAGAACTTTCCCTTTACAGTTGATATTGAGGTTATAAGGTCATTTCCAAGCAAACTCTTAAAACTATATTTTTTAATTTTTTTTTTCACAGTATTAATGCAAACCTTTTGCTGACAGAGTGCAGGCAGCAAAATCAGAAAACACTTGGTTTTTCTCCTAGGTAATTTCTGGACTTCATTTTCTTCAAAGTCTCTTACATTTGGGCTGTTTTCAAATCTTGTTACTTTCCCTTTGAAATATCTCCAGATACACTGTGTTCTCCCTGTTGAGATTTATCCTGTCACTACACGTCATGTCCCAACTGTTCTGTCTTCCAGGTGTTAGCCTTGTGTCCCAGTGCTAAGCTGGCTTCCCCAGATCCATCCAAAATTCTGCTGTTAAAATTACCTTTCTGCTTTTTGACTTTTATCATGATGACTCCTTTGCTTCCTCATTAACCTTTCTAGCTAGTAAAAGTTTTCTACCTGCCTATTTAGGGATCTTGATGTTTGGGTTAATTGAGATACTCTTTATGCTGGAAATAACAATAACCATCAAGACCTTTTCTAGAAAATCAAATACAGTATAAACATTTTTGGGGAAAGAAAAACCAACCAAACAAGCCAACAATTTGGCCTAGGTTAAAACAGTCTGGTTTAAAGAGCCTTAAATAATTTTATTTAATTTTTTCCTGTTATCATTCTTTAAAATGAAAATTATCAATATTTTCTTGCACCTTCAAACACACACGCATACAAAAAAAGTTATTTCAATAAGGAAAGCTATAGCATTCTTCATAGTACTTAAGCACCTCTTTGCAGGCTCTGCAGAATGTCTTAGAATCTTACCCACACCACAACAAGTCTTGCAGCTTCTCCAGCTGGGGCTCTTTGCAGAAGAGAGCCTGGCTGCTGCTCCCAGAGAATAAGGTTCTGTCACAGCAGAGAGAAGCTGGGATTGAAAGTACAAACAACATGAACACTAGCCAGATGTACACCAGTCTTTTTATATTACTGCCAAAGTTTATTATCCAAAGCTGCTCCAAAGGAGTTAATCCAGGAGAATTCAAATACAACAGAGAGCTGCTGAGAGCAGGGAGCTAAAATCATTGCAGTGCTTCATCTGTTGATGCATGTGGAGGTGCTTTGCACAGTTCCCAAGTCATAACTTTGAAGAGACACTGACACATGCTTCGTTGGAGAGGTATGGTACACCATCACGCAAGGCTTTTCTCAGAGCAGGCTTCCAGCTGAAATGCTAGAATGAAGAGGCTGAACTGCTGCAGCAAAGCAGACATGCAACAGTAAGCAAACTTAGCACTAGCTTCTGCTTCTTTCTCATGTCTTTCGACACCTAGTGCTCCATGATCACCCCCTTTCATCCTTTTGTTCATAAATATTTTACTGAGTTGGCTGAAGTCTTTTAACAGAACAGTCTTTTAAAGTTGGACATAGTAGAGATTGGTGTCTACACAAGATGAAAAAAGGCAGCCTTTGAGGTAGTCTCCTTTGTTGCTGTGCAGCATATTGGGGAAATCCTGTGTCAACTGTGGAAGGATGCACACCCTAGCTGAATCCCACCTAGGGATGCACAAGATGTTTTACTTGACAATTTTAATGTTTTGAAGTTTTAAGTTTCACATCTAAACCTGACAGTTCAAATTCATGCTTTGTCTGTATCACCTCTTTTGCCTGGAATATCTTGGAGATTGTAAATAGCATAAATAGCATACTTAAAAATATGACAATTATTTCAAATAAATATAAATACATCAGCTGAAACAACTTTATGAAGGATTAGAGGAAAAACTGCTAGAAAAAGCATTGTTGACTAGAACATTTTCCTTGTTAAGGTGAATCATCATAATGCAAGTCTCTGTTTTAGGGTGCTCCAGCTCTTGTCAGGTTAATCAAGCAGTGGTTGTAACTACAATTCAAGTATCTTCTGGAAAAGAAATAAAACTTTAAAGAAGGGACTGTATTCCAGGCAAATCCCTGAGGCACCTAGGTTTGCTTTTCTCTTACTATAGTCATGATCCTTAAGAAATATTCTGCCTGTTTCTAACAGCAAACCCCAGGATGATTGTAACAGCACAGTAGATTGGGCAAGGAGTTAGATCAACTTAATCGATTTCAAACAAAATGAGAAAATAAATTCTCTGCGGATGTTTACAGCCTAAGATTTTATTTAAAAAAAAAATTGCTACTTTAGGTTTTAATTTAGAGGCCTACAGAAAGTATCCATAATTCATAAAGGTTAAAAATAAATCATTTAGAGAAGCCTCAAAGGGGAAGAGCATTCAACATGTAGAGAAGATCATGCCTCTGAACACAAAGGTTAAACATATGGGTTTTCCCTTCTCTCCCTGATTCAGTCCAGCAGTCACACACTGAGCTTTCTTAGATGATGCAGCTTCAAGGACACCTCAGTGTGCACAATCATCCTACTATATCTTTTCTGTTCTAATACACCTCCTAAAATCTATTTCTTATGCCTTAAGTCATCAATACCATGTTATTTTATATACAAACAATCATTCAGAATATGTAGAAAGCAATTTATGTCACTGCTCCAAAATATTCACACCTTGCTGTGGCACCATACAAAGAGAGAAGTTGGGGAGAAGCCGGGTAAAAAACAGCACTCATATAGGTAGAGGATGACAGCTCCCAAACACAACTCTACAATTAGTAGTTTTCAATTCATTTTATTTTACTATGCGTTAGTGTGATACTGTGATACTGTGTTAGGAGCAGTCTGAGTTTATCTAGAGACAGAGAAGGGTTTGTGCTGCTCTAAGAGCATATCAAACATGGGAAACGGCAGCACAGATACAGGAGAACTGCACTGCCCTCATCCTGTCTCACCCCTACTATTTTCCTCCATCCTGCCTTCCCCAAAATCTGGGGCAGTAACAGCTCCAGAAGGCACTGCCAGTACTGAGCTATGGTGAGTTCATGCTTTCCTCTCCAGAGGAATTATCTAATGACTTTTAAAGGGTACCTAGTAGTATACATAACCAGCACAACATAAGCAGGGGTTATTAAGGTCAGCCCAGACCTCTTACAAAAACAACTGCATGATGAAATGAATGTGCCCACATGTACCTGTGGTTAGTTCCTATGTGACCCTATTTTGCTTTCACATTATAAATCAATGCACCTCATCCATACAGTAAAGCTTTTCCTCTACCAACTTCTCAGGCAGAACTAGGCCATTAGCCCCATCCTGAACTTCAGATGCCAACCTCACATACTTGATAATGGTTGCTGTGGCTTCCACCTGCACAACACAGGGAGCAACTTTTAGGGAATAGGGAATTAATCTGACCAGCTTTTGGCACATAAAAGACTCATGATACTTTAGCTCATGAAACTGAGCTAAAAGAGTATATCAGCAACAACTGAGATACAGCTGTGTTGAGGAAGCTGTCCTTAATGAATTTAAAACATTATATTAATGCAATCTTGTATTACCCTGCCATGCATGTCTACGTGCATATATATCTAATCACACCTGTGTTATGTCTCTTTCCTTTGGAAATGCTGATACATGACATTTTGATTATGATTTATGTGCCTCTCTCTTAGACACTAAGTAAACAGCAAAATCATGTATCTCCTTCCTTTGGAAATGCTGATACATTGCGTTCTTGATTTTGATCTATGCACCTCTGTCTTAAACACTAAGTAAACATCAAACAACAATCGTATTTGAATATTTTGAATGCAGGTTGGAGATGGCTTGATCTATGTGCAAGCTCCTGCAGGATCTATATTACCCATCTAACAGTGTGCACTCAAGCAAAGGCTCCCACACAAAGTAGTTTTGGTTGTGGGAGGTTTAAATTGTGACCATAAACAAAGAAATTCCAAGAACGAAGATACTAGCTGGCAGCATTGCACACCAGACAGGGATAATCAGCATAGCTCAATGGCAAGGGATCGGTGGAGTCAAGCAGCTGGTGCTGAAGAAATTATTTTGATCCTTCTCTCACCTTGGGAGTTTTACTGCAGGCTAGGTTAACTCCAGTCTCATGCACTGAGCATGTATGAGCAGGTGGAACATACGATTTGCACTCCCAGAGTGCATTTGCTGATTTGCTTTCATCTAAACAGAGTTTGGTCCAAGCACTCTGGAGTCATTTTGGATCCTAAGTAGGGAAAATAGGGAAATTTTGCTTCAGAAGCATACTCCTGATGTAGACTCACATACTGCCAGAGATGCACCTGGTATGCTCTGCCTTACTGACCTTTAGGTCCAATTTTGATCTGATTATTTCTAATCTTTGTGAATAGGATGCGAAATGAATGACCTCAGAATTTCCCATTGGCACGAGAGGTGTAAGTTTGTAATTTAGTATCTTTAAAAATGAACCCCATTCCTGCATACACAAAGGAATTAAAAAACTCTGCGGAAAAAAAAAACATGGAAAGAGCTACTTTTAGGAAATTCTTGAAAGGTAC